TTCAAAAAACAAATTTCCGCCGGTTAGTTTTCGAGGGCTGATTTCTTATCCTGTGATAAAAAGCCTTCTGTTTCCATCGCCAAAGCTTTCAGGGGAGCATTTGCAAGCATTTGGCACCATTTTTGAGTGAATTGCCAAAAGTCAGATTTTTGCTGAAATTGTGACCCCGGGGCTTAGTGTTTTTTTCAAAAAAATCTTTTTCCGCCCTTAAGTTTTCGAGGGCTGATTTTTTGTTCTGTGATAAAAAGCCTCCTGTTTCCATTGTCAAAGCTTTCAAGGGAGCATTTGCAAGCGTTTGGCACTATTCTCGAGTGAATTGCCAAAAGTCAGATTTTTGCTGCAATTGTGACCCCGGGGCTTAGGGATTTTTTCAAAAAAATCTTTTTCCGCCGGTTATGTTTTCGAGGGCTGATTTTTTTTCCTGTGATAAAAAGCCTTCTGTTTCCATCACCAAAGCTTTCAGGGGAGCATTTGCAAGCATTTGTCACCATTTTTGAGTGAATTGCCAAAAGTCAGATTTTTGCTGAAATTGTGACCCCGGGGCTTAGGGATTTTTTCAAAAAAATCTTTTTCCGCCCTTAAGTATTCGAGGGCTGATTTATTGTCCTGTCATAAAAAGCCTTCTATTTCCATTGCCAAACCTTTCAGGGGATCATTTGGAAGCGTTTGGCACCATTTTTGAGTGAATTGCCAAAAGTCAGATTTTTGCTGCAATTGTGACTCCCGGGGCTCAGGGATTTTTTCCAAAAACAAAATTACCGCCGGTTGAGTTGTCGACGGCTGATTTCTTCTTGTGTGATAAAAAGCCTTCTATTTTGACTACCAAAGCTTTCAGGGTAGCATTTGCCAGCGTTTGGCACCATTTTTGAGTGAATTGCCAAAAGTTAGATTTTTCCTGAAATTGTGACCCCGGGGTTTAGGGATTCTTTTCAAAAAACAAATTTCCGCCTGTTACGTTTTCGAGGGCTGATTTTTTGTCCTGTGATAAAAAGCCTTCTGTTTCCATTGCCAAAGCTTTCAGGGGAGCATTTGCAAGCCTTTGCCACTATCTTTGAGCGAATTGCCAAAAGTTAGATTTTTGCTGAAATTGAGACCCTGGGGTTTAGGGATTTTTTTAAAAACAAATTTCTGCCGGTCACGTTTTCAAGGGCTGATTTCTTGTCCTGTGATAAAAAGCCTTCTATTTCCATTGCCAAACCTTTCAGGGAGCATTTGCAAGCGTTTGGCACCATTTTTGACTGAATTCCAGTAAGTCAGATTTTTGCTGAAATTGTGACCCGGGGCTTAGGGATTTTTCAAAATATATTTTCCACCGGTCAAGTTTTCAAGGGCTGATTTCTTGTCCTGTGATAAAAAGCCTTCTGTTTCGACTGCCAAACCTTTCAGGGGAGCATTTGCAAGCGTTTGGCACCATTTTTGAGTGAATTGCCAAAAGTCAGATTTTTGCTGAAATTTTGACTCCGGGGCTTAGGGATTTTTTAAAATAAAATCTTTTTCCGCCGGTCAAGTTTTCAAGGGCTGATTTCTTGTCCTGTGATAAAAAGCCTTCTGTTTCGACTGCCAAAGCATTCAAGATAGCATTTGCAAGCGTTTGGCACCATTTTTGAGTGAATTGCCAAAAGTCAGATTTTTGCTGAAATTGTGACCCCGGGGCTTAGTGTTTTTTTCAAAAAAATCTTTTTCCGCCCTTAAGTTTTCGAGGGCTGATTTTTTGTTCTGTGATAAAAAGCCTCCTGTTTCCATTGTCAAAGCTTTCAAGGGAGCATTTGCAAGCATTTGGCACTATTCTCGAGTGAATTGCCAAAAGTCAGATTTTGCTGCAATTGTGACCCGGGGCTTAGGGATTTTTCAAAAAAATCTTTTTCCGCCGGTTATGTTTTCGAGGGCTGATTTTTTTCCTGTGATAAAAAGCCTTCTGTTTCCATCACCAAAGCTTTCAGGGGAGCATTTGCAAGCATTTGTCACCATTTTTGAGTGAATTGCCAAAAGTCAGATTTTTGCTGAAATTGTGACCCCGGGGCTTAGTGATTTTTTCAAAAAAATCTTTTTCCGCCCCTAAGTATTCGAGGGATTTTTTCCAAAAACAAAATTACCGCCGGTTGAGTTGTCGACGGCTGATTTCTTCTTGTGTGATAAAAAGCCTTCTATTTTGACTACCAAAGCTTTCAGGGTAGCATTTGCCAGCGTTTGGCACCATTTTTGAGTGAATTGCCAAAAGTTAGATTTTTCCTGAAATTGTGACCCCGGGGTTTAGGGATTCTTTTCAAAAAACAAATTTCCGCCTATTACGTTTTCGAGGGCTGATTTTTTGTCCTGTGATAATAAGCCTTCTGTTTCCATTGCCAAAGCTTTCAGGGGAGCATTTGCAAGCCTTTGCCACTATCTTTGAGCGAATTGCCAAAAGTTAGATTTTTGCTGAAATTGAGACCCTGGGGTTTAGGGATTTTTTTAAAAACAAATTTCTGCCGGTCCGTTTTCAAGGGCTGATTTCTTGTCCTGTGATAAAAAGCCTTCTATTTCCATTGCCAAACCTTTCAGGGGAGCATTTGCAAGCGTTTGGCACCATTTTTGACTGAATTCCCGTAAGTCAGATTTTTGCTGAAATTGTGACCCCGGGGTTTAGGGATATTTTCAAAAAAATCTTTTTCCGCCAGTTAAGTTGTCGAGGGCTGATTTCTTGTCCTGTGATAAAAAGCCTTCTGTTTCCATCACCAAAGCTTTCAGGGGAGCATTTGCAAGCGTTCGGCACCATTTTTGACTGAATTCCCATAAGTCAGATTTTTGCTGAAATTGTGACCCCGGGGTTTAGGGATATTTTCAAAAAAATCTTTTTCCGCCGGTTAAGTTGTCGAGGGCTGATTTCTTGTCCTGTGATAAAAAGCCTTCTCTTTCCATCACCAAAGCTTTCAGGGGAGCATTTGCAACCGTTCGGCACCATATTTGACTGAATTCCCGTAAGTGCTAAGAAGGCAATGAAAGTACCTCTGATGCATTCCATTTTGGTCAACTTTTGAGATTTCATAAGATTTCTCAACCTAGTTCTAGTATTTTGGGGACAATATTTCTAAAGAAGAATTTTGAGTTGGTAAAATCAAAGACGTATCAGGAGATAATCTGCTAGGGCCCCACAAGATTTTGATTGCCTAGGGGCCTCCACAGGTTTTAATCTGGAACTGTGCCCAACCAAGGACTAACTTTGGGCTCTTAAATGTCAATGGCGCCGTGTGCTACGCTAAAATCCGGCACCCTTCCCTTCAGCATGGTTTTGGCACCCTCTGCAGCGTGGTGCCCAGTGGGAGCGCACTGGTCGTGCCATCCTAAAACTGCCCTGGCCCAACCTTGGGATGTGCTTTTGGCATGGGAGAGAATATCACACCCCTTGTCCTGCCCAGGTGGACCAAAGAGAAACCCTCCCCATAAAACTATTGTTGTTGTTTAGTCGTTTAGTCGTGTCCGACTCTTTGTGACCCCCTGGACCAGAGCACGCCAGGCACTCCTGTCTTCCACTGCCTCCCGCAGTTTGGTCAAACTCATGCTGGTAGCTTTGAGAACACTCTCCAACCATCTCGTCCTCTGTCGTCCCCTTCTCCTTGTGCCTTCCATCTTTCCCAACATCAGGGTCTTTTCCAGGGAGTCTTCTCTTCTCATGAGGTGGCCAAAGTATTGGAGCCTCAGCTTCAGGATCTGTCCTTCCAGTGAGCACTCAGGGCTGATTTCCTTCAGAATGGATAGGTGTGATCTTCTTGCAGTCCATGGGACTCTCAAGAGTCTCCTCCAGCACCATAATTCAAAAGCATCCATTCTTCAGCGATCAGCCTTCTTTATGGTCCGGGTCTTACTTCCATACATCACTACTGGGAAAACCATAGCTTTAACTATACGGAATATCTAAATCAGGCCTTCCTCCTCCAGCTGGCAAGATGACTGGTAAACCCTTCCCCTGCCTCAGAAGGTCACAGCATACCTGCACATTTTGGGTTTTATCATGGTACTGCTGGGCTGCTGCTTGGCCAGAGCCTTTCCGAAACCATGGCCCTGCGAAGGAAGAAGGACATTGTATTCTCCTGGCATAGGCATTCAGTCTAGGGGACAGGGGTCCTGTGGACCCTCCCCGGTGATTTTCTTTTGGGGCACATCCCCCACAATTTTCTCAACCCCCCCCCCCACTCCTGTCTGCCTTTCCAGCTTCCTCTCATCCTCAGTCTGCTGCCTCCCCACAGCCACATGCCTCCTTCTCCTGCGTGGCACAGAGCAGCCCAGAAGCAGCGCAGGGGAAAGCGAGACAGCAGAGGCAGGGCCCTCCTGCGGTGGAGATATAATAATAATAATAATAATAATAATAATAATAATAATAATAATTTATTTGTACCCCGCTCATCTGGGTGGGTCCCCCCAGCCACTCTGGGCGGCTTCCAAAAAAGATTAAAATACATTAAAATGTCACACATTAAAAACTTCCCTGAACAGGGCTGCCTTCAGATGTCTTCTAAATGTCAGGTAGTTGTTTATCTCTTTGGCATCTGATGGGAGGGCATTCCACAGGTGCCACTACAGAGAAGGCCTTCTGCCTGGTTTCCTGTAGCTTTGCTTCTCGCAGTGAGGGAACCACCAGAAGGCCCTCAGCGCTGGACCTCAGTGTCCGGGCTGAATGATGGAAGTGGAGATGCTCCTTCAGGTATACTGGACCGAGGCCATTTAGGGCTTTAAAGGTTAGCACCAACACTTTGAATTGTGCTCGGAAACATACTGGGAGCCAATGTAGGTCTTTCAAGACCGGTGTTATGTGGTCTCGGCGGCCGCTCCCAGTCACCAGTCTAGCTGCCGCATTCTGGATTAGTTGTAGTTTCCGGGTCACCTTCAAAGGTAGCCCCACGTAGAGCGCATTGCAGTAGTCCAAGTGGGAGATAACTAGAGCATGCACCACTCTGGCCCCTGGGGGCCAGCCCCCAAACTACGGCAGGGACAGCCTGAGCGCTGGTGAGGGTGCCTGGCCAGCTGACGCAGGGAAGGAGGTAGGCAGAACAAGCGCCCTTGTATGCTGCCCATGCCCACATCACTGATGAGATTTCACCCCTCCCATATCCAAGAATCTCCTGAGGAGTCTGCTGATTCTCCAGAGAGGAGGAGGCGTGTTCTGCTCTCTACTTATTTTGCTCCAGCACCAAGTCAGTCAGTCAGTCAGTCAGTGTCGGAGAGAGAGAGAGACTGAGTGTTAGAGATCGTGTGTAGAGATAAGGTTGCTGCTAAGAGCAGCTGCAGACACTCAGTGCAGTGCTGCATTTATTTATGCATAGACCTATTAAGCTCTGTATATAGTTTGTATAGTTGTAGATAGAATAAAAGAAGATATTCTACAGAGCTGCTCTCCGAGTTGTTTATATACTCTGCTAGAGTCTGCTGTACTCTGCTGTGCGACGACTGTCTTCTTGTGGAAGTGAATCCGGTGCTCACAACTCTAAGCTGTGAGTCCACAGCACTTTGACCTGTTCCTGTGCAGAAGGTGGTCTCTGGAAGTGCTACCCAGCTCACTTAGCCCAGTCGGGGCTGAAGTGGATGAGCCCAGTTGGTGGCACTGGCTCAAGGGCGATGCTGATAGTCACCACTGACTGCTGACGCTCGCTGCTCCTGCCTGGGCACATGACGGCCCAACCCCTGGCTCGGAAGTAGTGGGGTGAGGGGCTGGGTTGAGACGGGCCTGTTCCCTCCCCCACCCCAGTCCTGTTTCGCCATGACCTCCTGCCACACGTGGGGAATGGATTCCCCATGGAATTAATTGACCACAACTTCCATGGCGGTTTCTCCTTCTTCCCCGAGCCACAGCAGCCTCTGTGTGCGACCTGGCTTTGGACCTGGCAGACAGAAAGGAAAATAAAAACAGAGAAAGAGGTTACAGATGGGAAATGTCTGAAAGCCTAAACGCAGAGACGCTGGCTTATGTCTCACAGCAGGACTCAGGATTCACCCTGGAACTCAGCCTATCACGTTTGCCTCCCTGTGTCAAAATAAAGATTGTAAGCCCCTCGGGGCAGGAACCTCTTCTTTAAGGTCACACACAGTGATGGTGCAAAGAAATAATACAAAAGAAATCTCACTAGGCTCCTGCCCCGTGCAAGCTGAAGCCCGCTAGAGGCCTTTCTATCATTTCAAATCATCCAAATCCTACCATTTATTAATTTCTAGGGTTTAGAGGTGTCCCCTTCAAATCCAAAACACTGTTTTGCCTGCATAGTTTTTACTGCTACTGCTGCTGTGAACCAATGCATGATAATAAATAAGGCTTATTTTTAAACTACTCAGGCTGCTGCCTGGTTTTTTTCTGAACTGAGCTATGAAGAATAAGGCAACTCCCTTCATAGCTGGACTTCCTCCAAACAAGGCTTGGCAGCCTAACTTCTAAGCTTTTCGTTTTGCAGCCAAGGAGGGGAATTTAAAACTCTGTTCATCTCACATTTGTGGATATCTGGAGGGATCAATTTCAATTAACGTATACTCTCCTTCCTGTTAAAACCCATCCCACACAGTGGCAAGGTTGTGAAACTTTGAGAAATTCTCTTGAAAATGATCTAGAACATGTTTAGGAACAATGAGTCTGTAGGTTGACATTTTAATGGAATGACCCCGTGACTTCAAGGTGTGAGGTGTACGGAGCCTTACAGATAAAAGAATAGAGCCATGGAAAGGCCATATGTTCAAGCTTGTAAGCAACCAGATATTCGCCACAGAAAATATCATCTGGGGACCACAGCTGAGGACCTGCGAAGCTATCAACAGCTGTGGACAAGTCAAGCCAGGGAGCCAAGCCACATGCACTACTGACGGGTGATGCTAATAATAATAATAATAATAATAATAATAATTCTATGCCACTCATCTCCTCTGTGCCTCCGATCTCCTCCTACCTTCAGAGTTCCTTCTCATGGTCACTGATGGGCTTGATCCTACTGCTTGATCCTACTGCTGGACTACTGATCCTGAAGAGCTGTCCAGCCCAGCTTCAGGTCCCTCACCAAGTGCACCCCTTCTATAACCTACCTCTCTCAACTGACTCTCACCTGCCTCCCCCCCCCAACATTTAAACTCCCTTTCCAAGTGTTATGAGAATTATAAGGTCTAAGATCTAAAATAAACGTTCATAAATGTACCAGACAAACACATATGTAAAGGTAAAGGTAAAGGACCGCTGACAGTTAAGTCCAGTCGCTAACGAGGTCTGGGGTTGCGGCGCTCATCTTGCTTTACTGGCCGAGGGAGCTGGCGTTTGTCCGCAGACAGTTTTTCCGGGTCATGTGGCCAGCACGACTAAGCCGCTTCTGGGGAACCAGAGCAGCACACAGAAATGCCGTTTACCTTCCCGCCGAAGCAGTACCTATTTATCTACTTGCACTTGACGTGCTTTCGAACTGCTAGGTTGGCAGGAGCAGCGACTGAGCAACAGGAGCTCACCCCGTCGCGGGGATTCGAACCGCTGACCTTCTGATCAGCAAGCCCTAGGCTCTGTGGTTTAGACCACAGCGCCACCAGCGCCCAAACACATACATAAATATATAAACCACATGTCTGAAACAGTACAGGAAAACAGTCCTAAAGCCATTTTGACTCTTTCATTGACCTCAGATATTCCTCTGCAGTTTGGATGGAAATGGGAAAAGCCTCCCCATTGTCTCTGTGCTCACAAATGCTGCCTTAAGGGCACATTTGGGTATGAATAGGGTGAGCCTGTGACCTGGACTCAGGAATTAAGTATTTATCATCACAAAAGAATGGCCAGGCTCTCCATGTAAACCCATTAACAGCCAGGTAAACCCATTAACAGGTTTCCTGCCAGACAGGATTCTGTTGTAGACTGCCCCTTCTGTGATGTATGTATGATGTATTGTGTGTGTGGGGGGGTGGTCTTGGGCTACAGGGTGGCAATTTCAAAAGTCTATATAAGGGCTTGTGCACCATTGTTCTGGGTTCCTCCTCCCCAGTGGCGTAGCGTGGGTTGTCAGCACCCGGGGCAAGGCAAGTAATTTGCGCCCCCTAACCTGTGGATTTGCGCCCCCTAACCCTAACCCCCAGATGTTGCGCCCGGTGTGGCCGCCCCCCCTGCACCCCCACGCTACGCCACTGCTCCTCCCTCCTGCGTGTGGTGAGTGAGGACCCTGTTGCAACAGTTCAATAAAGATCAGTCTTACTAGCTGCTTTGCTTCTCAATATTTTCTGGTTGGCCTCTGTTATTTTCTCCTACAGATAGGGAACCTACATAAGGACTCTATACGGGCTCTTAGGTACCCCATAAAGGAAAAGGAGCATTTTTTTTTCTTAGAACACAAGCCTCCTCCAACCCTCCATCTCCACCAGAATTTCTCTCTCTCTCTTTCCCCTTCCCTCCCTGCTTGACATTTACTTGGGAATTCTAATAGAATCACCTTAATTACCCTACTGGAAAAAGAGAGGAAGAGGGTACAGATATGAAATGTCTGGGGATCCGAAATCTAAACTCAGAGACCCTGCCTGATGTCTTGCAAGAGGACTCAGGATCCACCCTGGACCTCAAGCTTACTTCATAGCTGGGATTGCTCAAAACAAGGTTTCACAGGTTAATTCCCAAACTTTTAGTTTTGCTGTCAAGAAGGGTTTTTTAAAACTCTGTGCAGCTCACATATGTGGATATCTAGAGGGATAAATTTCAACTAACGTATACTCTCCTACCTATTAAAACCCACCCCACACAGTGGCAGGATCTTGAAACTTTGGGAAATTCTCTTGAAAATGATCTAGAACATGTTTAGGAACAATGAGTCTGTAGGTTGACATTTAATGGAATGATCCCGTGACTTCAAGGTGTGATGTGTACGCAGCCTTAGAGATAAGAGAATAGAGGTGTGGAAAGGCCATATGGTTCAACCTGGAAACCAGCCAGATATTCACAACAGAAAATATCATCTGGGGACCACAGCTGAGGACCTGCCAAGCTATCAACAGCTGTGGACAAGTCAAGCCAGGGAGCCAAGCCACATGCACCACTGAGGGGTGATGCTAATAATAATAATAATAATAATAATAATAATTCTATGCCACTCATCTCCTCCGAGCCTCAGGCTCCTCCTACCGTCACAGTTCCCTCTCATCATCGCTGATGGGCACAACTGTCTTGCCAAGTCTCTCACCATCATCTGCCAGGCATCCCTCCTGCAGGGCAATATAAAGCTTGCTTGCAAAGTGGCACTTTGTGACATCAGATGACAAACAGGGGCCAGGCTGCTGGGTTGTCAGGCAGCTCAGTTAAGAAGAATAAAAATAGGGGGGTCAAAGTGTGCTGGGATGAGGTCACCGTGGGTCAGGCCAGAGTGTGCCGTTGGGATGTGTGGTTGTGCCTCCCCTGGTTCTGCGTCTCGCTCCCCTGCCTGTTCCGTTAGCTGCTTGATAGAATCATAGCGTGGCAGAGTTGGAAGGGATCCCAAGGGTCATCTAGTCAAACCCCAGGTAATGCCAGGATCCTGCCCACAGCCAGCCCTAGCTGGGCTCCAAACTCTGACCATCTTCTTACCAGCCAGATGCACTGACCCCTTGCAATTCTGGTTCGATAGATACCTCTTCACCTCTTTTTGATCTATTTGGTTTTTTTTTTAATAATTTCATCTTGTTTCTGCATCTTCACTTTGACTTCCTGGACTTTTGTTCCTAAGTCTTTTATGTTTAATTGTCATTTGGTTGACTTGGTTAGAAAGTTCCATTATTAAATTCGAATTTTTTTCCAATCTTACTTCCCATATTTTCCACTTTCCCATCTAATATCCTCATATTTCCATCCAATATTGTCATTTTTTTCACCTAGATTTCCCCCCATTCTTTCCATTGCTGCTATAAGTTCTTTCAAGTCCATGTTGCTTTCACTTTCTATAATTGAGACTCTTCGTTGGTGAATCAAGGATGTCGCAAAACCGCTTGTTGGTTGGGCTTTCTTTGATCCCATTGGATTTCTGTCTCCTCCGTTCTTTCTCTTCAGTTGTCTCTCAGTGTTTTATAATTTCTAGGAAACTCCCCTAAAATAAATAATTATAAGTCCATTCCCTTCTGGATTATTTGATATTTTGCACCCCTTCTTTCTAGGGTGGTATTAGAAAGGAGCTGAAGGAAAAAAGAGGAGGGAAACCCCTATTTCTGTGTTATATGTTCTCCCCTCTGTATTTTAAAATTTCCTTAATATTATTCCTGTAGTTATATTTTTGCCCCCGAGATGGTGCTGTTCTTCGAGATGTTTATTTTCCTGTCACTGTCTATTCCAGTACTGGCCACACGGGGTCACTGTTTATTTTCCTGTCAATGTCTATTCCAGTAACCTCTTTTTAAAGGGTCACACACAGTGATGGTGCAAACCAATAATACAAAATCAATCTCACTACGCTCCTGCCCTGTGTGAGATAAAGCCTGCTAGAGACCTTTCCCTTGAAGCCATAGGCTGTGAACCCACCATACATTTAGGGCTCATCCCCAGTTCCCCTTGAGTTGTGTGCATAGCTGTCAACTTACAGATTTGAAAATAAGGGACCAGCAGCCTCAAAAATAAGGGATCAGCAGCCAAAATAAGGGATTTTTCTGAGCACAGGTATGTTCAACTTCTGAGCCCCTCCGAGCCAAAGGCAGAAAGCCCACCCAGCAGCCAATCGAAGCCTCAAGCGGTGGTTCCCACAGCGCAGCAACCTGGCAAAGGGGATGCAGCAAGGAAAACCACTGTCACCTCTCCGCTGGGAAGCGCTGAGCAAAGGCGAGTCCCCAGGCAACGCGGCCGATTTGATCAGCACAAGGCATGCAAGCTCCACCCCCCGGTCGATCTTAGACTCCTTATTGGGTGAGCAACGCAGCCAAGCAACACAGTTGGAGCCTCCCTCCTCCCTGGCCGGCAGGGAAAGAGGGAGAGGGGCTGCTTCCTTTGAAACCCGGGAAATTTAAGGGACATCATCAATAAGGGACAGCAGCGGGACATGGCTCTGGGATAAGGGACTTTCCGGCCAAATAAGGGACGGTTGACAGCTATGGTTGTGTGCCCAGCAAGCTCAGGTGTGTTAACAGATTTGCTCTTTGCTAGACCGGCCAGCCTGGTTTGCAAAAGTCAGCCCAGGGATTCCTTGTCCAGCACAGTCCTGTAGCTTCTCCTTTCATTGATATCCAAATTAATCAAAATCCTACCACTGATCAATTTCTAGTGTTTAGGGTCTCCTGCAAATGTACAACAGTATTTTTCCTGCATAGTTTTTAATACTACTATTGTTATGAGCAATGAAAAACCTAGGCAGCATCTTAAAAAGCAGAGACGTCACCTTGCCAACAAAGGTCCATATAGTTAAAGCTTTGGTTTTCCCAGTAGTGATGTATGGAAGGGAGAGCTGGACCATAAAGAAGGCTGATCGCCGAAGAATGGATGCTTTTGAATTATGGTGCGGGAGGAGATTCTTGAGAGTCCCATGGACTGCAAGAAGATCAAACCTATCCATTCTTAAGGAAATCAGCCCTGAGTGCTCGCTGGAAGGACAGATCCTGAAGCTGAGGCTCCAATACTTTGGCTACCTCTCCCTGGAAAAGACCCTGATGTTGGGAAAGATTGAAGACGCAAGGAGAAGGGGACGACAGAGGATGAGATGGTTGGACAGTGTTCTCGAAGCTACCAGCATGAGTTTGACCAAACTGCGGGAGGCAGTGGAAGACAGGAGTGCCTGGCGTGCTCTGGTCCATGGGGTCATGAAGAGTCGAACACGACTAAACGACTAAACAACAACAGATTGTTGTGAACCGATGCATGCTTATAAAGTAAGTAAAGTTTGTTTTTAAAGTTCCCCAGTTGATGCCTGATTCTTTCTTAAGTGGGACAAAGGGAGGGAAGGCAGCTAGACTTGCTCAAAACAAGGTTTTCACAACCTATTTCCTGTCCTTTTAAGTTTGCTGTAGAGGATGGGATTTTAAAACTCCGTTTTTAAGGACCAGGTGGCAACCCTACTTCAGGTATACAGGACCCACACTTTGAATGGTGTTTGCAAACCGTAGATCCTTTAGGTGTTATATGGTCTCAGCAGCTGCTCCCAGTTTCTGGTCCAGCTGTTGCTACATCTGCTAGCTCCTCTCAGATATGCATGAGCCAATCTGATCTGAGGGGAATCCCTTCCTGTCCTCCAATATATGGGACAACCTGTTTGAGCAGCTTAACCCTTTGATTGAGAGGAAAACTCCCTTGGGCCCTGATGGTAGCTGTCTAATCCCAATGCCAATAGTAGTTTCAAAGGGGGAATTTTCCTTGCGACTGAAACAGGGTAGACTTCCTTCCCATCTGCTGTGAGCCTGATAATTTTCTTGCATTTTTTGAAGCTACGTTTTGCATTGAACATCCTGTCTCCTTTGTTCCTGTATGTGCTCTCTAAGCATTTCCCAACACCAATCTCTCCATCTTTTCCAAGTACAGCCCTACCAATGACAGGAAAAGATGGCTTGAGATGCAATGGAGCCAATCCGCATTAGTAATAATAATAATAATTTATTATTTATACCCTGCTCATCTGGCTGGGTTTCCCCAGCCACTCTGGGCGGCTTCCAACAAAACACTAAAATACAATAACCTATTAAACATTAAAAGCTTCCCTAAACAGGGCTGCCTTCAGATGTCTTCTAAAAGTTTGGTAGTTATTTTTCTCTTTGACATCTACTGGGAGGGCGTTCCACAGGGCGGGTGCCACTACCGAGAAGGCCCTCTGCCTGGTTCCCTGTAACTTGGCTTCTCGCAGCGAGGAAACAGCCAGAAGGCCCTTGGAGCTGGACCTCAGTGTCCAGGCAGAACGATGGAGGTGGAGGCACTCCTTCAGGTATACTGGACCGAGGCTGTTTAGGGCTTTAAAGGTCAGCACCAACACTTTGAATTGTGCTTGGAAACATAGCCCCCCCCCCCTTTGCATAACATTCTAATTCTGTTGAGATACATTGCAATTTTGTTCAGTCTGTGAGTGCCGAGGATGGAAAGCCCCACACACAAATGCCGAACATCGATTTGTAGAAAACACAACTTGAAAAAAGAGACAATGAACATACTTTCGTAAACCAAGAAAACGTTTATTGAAAATTATTTCAAACAAAGAAACAAACAAAAGAAACTGGTTCTAAGACTGAGCCTTGGTTTGGAAGGTGCCAGAACTTCAGCCTGCAGCGTGGCCACCTGTTTGTTTGGCTGAAAAGCAGGAGAAAAACAATAATGATCAAGGACAATGGGAGTGTTGGTCTCTAAGGTGCTACTGGACAATTTTTTAATATATATATATATTTCGACTGCGTCAGACCAACACGGCGACCTACCTGAATCACACCTATATATGCAAAGTAGAGGAAAAACACCCAAAATCCTGTCTTCATTTCCTCTCTTATCGATCCGCCCCAGGCATCACTCAAAGCCTTCCTGCAAATTAGAAAACAAACAATACATGGCCATCAGTAAACAGAGGAAAAAACAGGAATCTGCCTCAGCCCTTTTGTATAACTGTCTAAAACACGACAATCTAAGTATCGTCAAATGCACTCTGTACGGTGTTCCATTTCGCTAAAGGAACCAGACTATATTAAAGGGAATTTGCACTTTTAACACCACCCACCTGGGTGTCTGGCTGAAAAGCAGGAGAAAAAGGACAATGGTCAAGGACCATGGGAGTTGTAATCGAGCATCACCTGTAGGAGGGCCCCAGTTCCCAAACCTGTCTTATTAGTGTCCACCTTTTTACAGAAACGCTACAGCATGAACACGTACGCTCAACTTCATGGGTAGGCAAACTAAGGCCCAGGGGCCGGATCCTGCCCAATCGCCTTCTCAGTCCGGCCTGCGCACTGTCCAGGAATCAGCGTGTTTTTACATGAGTAGAATGTGTGCTTTTATTTAAAATGCATCTCTGGGTTATTTGTTGGGCATAGGAATTCGTTCATTATTATTATTTTTCAAAATCTAGTCCAGCCCCCACAAGGCCTGAGGGACAGTGGACTGGGCCCCAGCTGAAAAAGTTTGCTGACCCCTGCTTGTAGGGTGTTCTCCCCTCCCCATGCAAAGCTTCCCTTCCTCTTACCTGTTCTTTTTGCGGGAGACTTCGGCAGCAGCCACAGCGGTGCACACAGGAGATCCTGCAAGAAAAAAGGGATATTTGAAGCAAGGGAGAATTTGACGCTAAGGCCGCTTTGAGGGAAAAATCCCTGAACATGTGAAAGGCCTGTCACAGACCGAACGCCGGGGACAGAATGTCCCCTCAGACGCCCACTCAGCTGTTCCACCCACCCCAGGGACTTAAAGCAGATCCCACCGCGGAGCTCACAAGAGCTTTTGTTAGGAACCATCAGATGAACAGGAGATGCAGCAGAAGAGCATCTTTGACTGCATGGCTTTATAAGAGGATGAGGCGACTGAACGGAGGAGGGGGCGGTGAAAGACTACTAGTCCTGATGGAGGAAAAAACGCTTTATAAAAGCCATTGCAGGAAGTCCCAGGTGGGCAGAGGGCTCTTGGGCTCGGATCCTGTTTGTGGCTTTCCCAGTGGCATCTGGGTGGCCCCTGGCAGAAGAGGAGGCTGGACCAGGTGAGCCCTTGGCCTGATCCTGCAGGCCCTTCTTGTGTGTTTCCTAAGGCTGCCCTCCGTCCCCGTCCCATTACCTCTGAGGGGAGAGGCCTTCGTCTGGGCTGCAGTCCCTCCAAGGATGTGGTAGCTCCCAGGCTGAGTCTCTCCCTCACTGCAAAACAAACGGAGACCTCAGCCGGCGCCTGGCTCCCGGTCACGCTAGCCCCAGTCTGGGGCAGGAGGGTGGGGAACATGGCAAGGGGGCATTTCCTCCTACCTGATCTTATCAGCTCTTCCCACTTGGCCTCTGTAAGGGTGTCTCGCCTCTGTCCCGGCCAGCCTAGCTCAGAAGCAGCAGCCAAAGTCTCCTCTTTCTCAGAAAGGAGAGGAGATGCTGTTCCCAGCATGAGAAGAAACTTTGGCTGCTGCTTCTGCACCAAACAGGGCCGAGATTGAGCCATGCCCGCAGAGAAAGGGCAGTGGGGAAGAGGCGCGAGGGATGGCAACCAGGAACCACAGAGATGTCCTCTGGTCCTTTATCCCGGGAGCTGGAGTTGGAGCCTCATCCCTGGAGTCATGACTCTGTGGAGGAAGCAGGATATCGTATGGGTTCTCATGCGAATGGGCTCTCACTGTCGGCAGGTTCCCCAATTATCGCCCTGTCATACCATGCTGCTGTGGAAATTCACAGGGCATAAAATCACTAAGTTTTGTAATCCTTGCAGTTGTACTCTGGTCAAGGACAATGGTACTTGTCCCCCAGTTCCTAAATCTGTCTTAATAGTGTCAGCCTTTTCCCCCAGAAATGCCCCCATAGCATAAAAATGTACGCTCAACTTGTAGGGTGTTCTCCCCGCTCCATGCAAATTTCCTCTTCCTCTTACCTGTTCTATTTACATGGTGGCTTGGGCAGCAGCCACAGCAGGGCAGACAGGAGATCCTGCAAGAAAGGTGTCCTTGAAGCAGGGGAGAACTCGACGCTAAGGGCTGCTTCGAGGGAAGAATCCCTGAACATGTGAATGGGCTGTCACAGACCGAACGCCAGGGATAGAACGTCCCTTCAGACGCCCATTCAGCTGTCACACCCATCCTAGGGACTTAAAGGAGATCCCACTGCGGACCTCACAAGAGCCGCCTTTTGGCAGGAAACATCAGATGACCAGGAGATGCAGCAGAAGAGCTCTTCTGCTGCATCTCTGACTGCATGGCTTTAAAAGATGATTAGGCAACTGACTGAAGGAGGAAGCGGTGAAAGACTACTAGTCCTGATGGAGGAAAGAATGCTTCATAAAAGCCGTTGCAGGAAGTCACAGGTTGGCAGAGGGCTCTTGGGCTCGGATCCTGTTTGTGGCTTTCCCAGTGGCATCTGGGTGGCCCCTGGCAGAAGAGGAGGCTGGACCAGGTGAGCCCTTGGCCTGATCCTGTAGGCTAGGCCCTTCTAGTGTGTTTCCTAAGGCTCCTCCTCCAGGTGGCGGAGGAAGGGGGAGTGGAGGGGCGCGGTGTGCCCCCGGGTGCCATCTCTGAGGGAGGTGACAAGAAGCCACCCCACGGGGGGCTCATTCCGCAACCCCCAGGCGCGGCGGCGCGAGCTACCACCATTGCGCCATCACAGCTGTGTGCGGAGGATCCCTGCCACCGCCGCTGCAGCCGTGAGCGGAGGATCCTGCTGCTGTCCATGCAGTGCTTGAGCAGTTATGTCGGCAACCGCCCAGTGGTGCATGAGTGGCACCATTACGTATGGTGCATGTGTGTGCTCCATATGTAGTGGCGTCATGCATCTGCCGTACGTAGCGGTGCCACACATGCACCACCGGGCAGTTTGCCCCACTCCCGACACCCCACACCGGGTGCCGGTTAGCCTTCTTTCGCCCCTGCCTCCTCCTCCCCCCAACAGTCCTTCGTCTGGGCTCCAGTCCCTCCCAGGATGCAACGGTTTCCATTCTGAATCTTTCCCTCACTGCAAAACAAACGGAGACATCAGCAGGCGTCTGGCTCCCAGCCATGCTAGCCCCAGTCTGGGCCAGGAGGGTGGGGGATCTGGGAAGGGGGCATTTCCTCCTACCTGATCTTACAAGCTTTCCCCACTTGGCCTCTGTATGAGTGTCTCATCTCTGTCCCGTATATACACAAACTATCAAATGTGGTGACAGTAATAATAATACAACAAAACAACAACACCACAAACTGGCTTATAAGTATAAAACCAAGTTAACTAGAATAATAGCTAGAATAGAGATAGACTTGTAACCATTCAAACAACAAACATACTAAGGTGCCATGTGCATGACAAAGCCTGGAGATACAGTGGTACCTCAGGTTACATACACTTCAGGTTACAGGCGCTTCAGGTTACAGACGCTTCAGGTTACAGACTCCACTAACCCAGAAATACTACCTCGGGTTGCTTCAGGATGAGAACAGAAATCGGGCTCCGGCGGCGTGGCAGCAGCAGGAGGCCCCATTAGCTAAAGTGGTGCTTCAGGTTAGGAACAGTTTAATTCCGGAACACATTAAGTACTTAACCCGAGGTACCACTGTACTGTAATCATGGAGTTGATAAATGTACAACTCTATCTTAACAAGTTACATGTGCCGTAAACGTTATACAGACAGGATAAATGAACCGTTCAACAAGTAACGTAAGTCCAATCACAAAATGGCAACCCCGTGCCACCACAACAGTAAGGGTAGCACACTGGAGAATATGAAATCACAGGAAACCTGTAATATATCTGGAGAACAGGTCTCCTTTTGCCCACTTGCGTTATTCTCACCAGGGTGGTGGCTTTGATTTGCCTTCCCGTGACTGATCCATGCATACGGCTTTGTGTTCCCAACTCAAGACCCATTGAAGAACATCTCATCCAGTTCAATCTTTGAAAAACAGCTTTGAAAAACTTTTTCATATTTCAGTATGTTTGTTGTTTGAATGGTTACAAGTCTACCTCTATTCTAGCTATTATTCTAGTAAATTTGGTTTTATACTTATAAGCCAGTTTGTGGTGTTGTTGTTTTGTTGTATTATCATCTCTGTCCCGGCCAGCCTAGCTCAGAAGCAGCAGCCAAAGTCTTCTCTTTCTCAGAAATTAGCTGAGCAGCAGTCTTAATCGGAGGAAGCTTTGGCTGTTGCTTCTGCACCAAAGATCTGGCAGTCAAAGGCCGAGACGGAGCCATGCCCACACAGAGAAGGGGTGCTGGAGAAGAGGCATGAGGAGCAAGCTGTTTCTGCATGCCTTCCATCAGCGCCTTGGATGGGCTGCACTGGGATGCAGAAACAGCAGCCGGAAACCGCGCAGATTGTTTCCTTCTGCTTTGTCCATCATCTTGGGAGCTGGAAACCGAGAAGCGTCCCTGGAAGTGTGGCCCTGTGAAGGAAGGGGCAAGTTCGATGCACCAAAGTTGTAGACTTTCTGCAGTTGTCAGGTAATTGGGAACCAGCTAGAACTTTGTATGGTGAGAGAACAAGATCAGACAGCTGATCTCACAAGAGCCAGCTCCTTGCAGGAATAAGGAAGCCAAGGAGAATCAGATGCCCACAAGAGCATCTTGGATGAGGTGGCTTTCAAAGAGGGTGAGACAATTGCATGGGAGAGAGGCCTATCCAAGGCAACTAGCCATGATGGCTATGCTCAGCGTCCCTGGTTGAAGGGAATAATAATAATAATAATAATAATAATAATAATAATAATAATTTATTATTTATACCCCGCCCATCTGGCTGGGTTTCCCCAGCCACTCTGGGCGGCTTCCAACAAAACACTAAAATACAGTAACCTATTAAACATTAAAAGCTTCCCTAAACAAGGCTGCCTTCAGATGTCTTCTAAAAGTTTGGTAGTTATTTTTCTCTTTGACATCTGGTGGGAGGGCGTTCCACAGGGTGGGTGCCACTACCGAGAAGGTCCTCTGCCTGGTTCCCCGTAATTTGGCTTCTCATAGTGAGGGAACCGCCAGAAGGCCCTCGGCGCTGGACCTCAGTGTCCGGGCAGAACAATGGAGGTGGAGGCACTCCTTCAGGTATCCTGGGCTGAGGCCGTTTAGGGCTTTAAAGGTCAGCACCAACACTTTGAATTGTGCTCGGAAACGTACTGGGAGCAAGTGTAGGTCTTTCAAGACCGGTGTTATATGGTCTTGGCGGCCGCTCCCAGTCACCAGTCTAGCTGCCGCATTCTGGATTAGTTGTAGTTTCCTGGTCACCTTCAAAGGTAGCCCCACATAGAGCACATTGCAGTAGTCCAAGCAAGAGATAACCAGAGCATGCACCACTCTGGCAAGACAGTCCGCAGGCAGGTAGGGCCTCAGCCTGTGTACCAGATGGAGCTGGTAAACAGCTGCCCTGGACACAGAATTGACCTGCGCCTCCATGGACAGCTGTGAGTCCAGAATGACTCCCAGGCTGCGCACCTGGTCCTTCAGGGGCACAGTTGCCCCATTCAGGACCAGGGAGTCCTCCACATCCGCCCACCTCCTGTCCCCCAAAAACAGCTGCCATCCATCCTCCAACCACCTCCAGACACTCACACAGGACCTTCACCGCCTTCACTGGTTCTGATTTGAACGAGAGGTAGAGCTGGGTATCATCCACATACTGATGAACACCCACCCCAACCCCCCTGATGACTTCTCCCAGCAGCTGCATGTAGATGTTGAAAAGCATGGGGGAGAGGACAGAACCCTGAGGCACCCCATAAGTGAGAGCCCAGGGGTCTGAACACTCATCCCCCCCCCCCACTTTCTGAACACGGCCCAGAAGGAAGGAGCGGAACCACTGTATAACAGTACCCCCAGCTCCCAGCCCCTCTAAGCTATCCAGAATACTTCTGAAAAGCACTTCCTGGAAGCCACAGGTAGGAAAAGTGTTCCTATGAACCCCAAAAGGTATTTCAGAAGGACCCCTTCCTTCCCTCTGCCCCAGTACCTGAGGGTCCTCACATCTCTCCAGGGATTTCACCAGAACAAATGGGAAAGGTTCCCTCACTGCAAAGAAAATGAATAATAATAATAATAATAATAATAAATTTTATTTATATCCCGCCCTCCCCAGCCAAAGCCAGGCTCTGAGTGGCTAACATCAAATGTATAACACATTAACATAAAATCAGACAATCAATTAAAATACATCCTCAAATCAGATCAGGATCAGAATAAAATCCAATCAGATGGCAACCCGCAGATTAGGGTTGGGGACCTTAAATGCTCACCAGGCCCAACTGTTTGTGCTGAACTTCTATGGGCCTGTGAGAAAAATTGGGAGGCCATTTTCATGAAGACATTAGCAGGCGCCTGGCTCCCAGCCATGCTACCAGCAGTCCGGCGCATGAGGGTGGGGACACGGGAAGGAAGCATTCCTATAATATGGGGCACTCAATTGGCATTTCCACCTACCTGAACTGTGAGCCTTTCCCCCCTTGTTCTGGCCTGCCTCTCTCCAGGAAGATGCAAGCTCCTGGAAGCCACTGGTGGGGAGAGTGTTCCTACGACTCTCAAATGTTTCAGAAGGACGCCTTGCTTGCAAAACAACACTTTGTGACATCAGCTTGGAAACCGGGGCCAGGCTGCTGGGATGTCAGGCAGCTGCATTAAGAAAAATAAAATCAGGGGGGTCAAAGTGGGCTGGGATGTAGTCACCGTGGGTCAGGCCAGAGGGTGCTGTTGGGGTGTGTGGTTGTGTCTCCCCTGGTTCTGCGTCTCGCCCCTCTGCCTGTTCTTTTAGCTGCTTGATAGAATCATACAGTAGTAGGGTGGAGTTGGAAGGGATCCCAAGGGTCATCTAGTCCAACCCCGGGCAATGCCAATGAAGGAGGTGAGGACAGGTGCCCCACCTAGGCCCGAAGTCACCCTAGGCCTCAAAACCAAGTTTCCCCTTTCTCTCTTCTAAAAAACCACAGCTTTAGCTTGTCTCTGCTCTTCTCTGCTTTCTCACAAGATGCTGCTGCATAGGCAAAATGTTACTTTTATCAGTACGAGAGAGCTTCAAAAAGGCTAATGAATAGACTCTATCAATGCCAAGAATAAGCAGGCCTGGGAACTGACTCTTATCTCATTCGGTTGCAACACATCTTGGACATGCTGAGATGCAAGGCTCCTCGACCCCCTTGGCTTCTCATCCCCCTTTCCTGGGAAGGGTGCCAAGAGTCCCAAAGACAGGAGCTTTCTGTTCATGCTCAGGAAACTCATCATGGGGCAGGGCTCCTGAGGAGGGAAAAGGGGGAGGGAACTGGAGGGGAATATATGCTCTGTGCAAATGGCTGTGCTTGTGCTTGTTTGTGAAATTATCACACTAGCTCCTTCTACCAAGCCCGGATGGTAGAAATAAAGCTCTTTCTGTGAAATTATGCCTTGAGTGTCTGTTTGACTCCCATTTCCCTCTCCCCGGGTGCAATGCTCTTCCCGCCCGAGGGCAAAGCCTGAAAAGGCTACACCAGGATCCTGCCCACAGCCAGCCCTGGCTGAGCTCCAAACTCCGACCATCTTCTTCCCAGCCAGATGCACTGCTCCCTTGCAATTCTGCCTGGGGTGGAGAAAGGGGAGACAGAAACGTTTTGCTCCCTCTCTCAGGACATGGATATGAGAGCCACAAAATGCAGCCCTTTCGATACCTTCAAGGGCTGTGACAGGGAGGAGGGAGCAAGGTTTTGAATAAACATTCACAAACGTTTTATTGATAATAACCAGCTAAATAGTTTGAGGAGCTATACCACTTTGTAACATGCAGAAAACAACAGTCTCAGAGAAACCAAAGACTGGAACTGAGGGAAGTCGGGGGGGGGGGGGGGTAGGTTTTGTGAGGGAGGGTGGGGGGAGGAAGGAAAGATGGGGGAAAAACAAGGATGATATGTTTTTGGATAATATGTTTTGTTTTAATTTTGAATAAAAAAACTTATATAAAAAGAATGTAATAGGGTTATTAAGGTAATAGTATTAGAATTACTATGGTTATGTTAAGGAGGGAGGGGGAAGAGAGAGTGTGGAATTCTGGTGGTGAGTGATGATTGGATGAGGATTTGAAAGGGAATTTGAATGTGAGGCAGTTGAGAGTCAGTTGAGAGCAGTGGGTTCTGGAGGGGATGGGGGACGTGAAGCAGGGTTGGGCATCTAACTATTCAGTTTAGGATCAGAGGTCTAGTCATGATTTTTGTAATAAAGCAGCATATAAGATTAATAATAATAATAATAATAATAATTTTTATTTATACCCCGCCCTCCCCAGCCAAGGCTGGGCTAAGGGCGGCTAACAAGCAATAATAAGAACAGGTTGAATGAATATAACTTAAAAACAAGATTAAAATACAACATTAAAATATTGAAACATTAAAATATTAAAATGCAGCCTCATCACAGGAGGAGAAAAGGAAAAAGGAAAAAGAGGGGGAGGGCATCAAATTGGCTCCAAGCCAAAGGCCAGGTGGAACAACTCTGTCTTACAGAGAAAGAGAATTTGAGGCCATAAGCTCAGGTACACATGCCATCCAACAATCATTTAGTGAATCATCCATACAATCTCCTTTAGTGAGGGCGTAGTACCTAGGTTCTGTACCAACCATTGATATTTTTTGCTTTTTTCTAGGAAGGATGTGGGCGGGGAGAATTACAGTGGTGCCTCGCAAGACGAAAAGAATTCGTTCCGCGAGTCTTTTCGTCTTGTGATGTTTTTCGTCTTGCGAAGCACAGTCCGTCGCAACTGCGCCTCTTCAAGCGGCTTTTGTAAAAACGCGCAAGACGTTTTCGTCTTGCAAAGCAAGCCCATAGGGAAATTCGTCTAGCGAAGCAACGCAAAAACGGAAAACCCTTTCGTCTAGCGAGTTTTTCGTCTTGCGAGGCATTCGTCTTGCGGGGCACCACTGTATTGGATTCAACGCCACAGAAGTATTCCCAACCAGGGTGGACATTGGGCTCTAAAATGTCAATGGCGACCTGTGAAATGCTAAAATTTGGCACCCCTCCCTCTTGTTCTTCAGCATGGTTTCGGCACCTTTTGCAGCGTGGTGCCCAGTGGGAGCGCACTGGTCGTGCCATCCTAAAACTGCCCTGGCCCAACCTTGGGATGCGCTTTTGGCATGGGAGAGAATCACATCCCTTGTCCTGCCCAGGTGGACCAAAGAGAAACAAAACTGTAGGAAGATCTAAATCAGGCCTTCCTCCTCCAGCTGGCAAGAGGACTGGGAAACCCTTCCCCTGCCTCAGAAGGTCACAGCATACCTGCATATTTTGGTTTTTATCATGGCACCGCTGGGCTGCTGCTTGGCCAGAGCCTTTCCCAAACCTTGGCCCTGAGAAGGAAGAAATATCTCAAAATCGTCGGGATAGCCAGCCGCTCTAGGGGATTGGGCCCTGAGGATATTTTTTGTTCTTTTCTAGGTTCATAGGTTTATGTTCTGGTTCTAATGATGTAATAGGGGTGGAGCTCTTTAAATATATGGGGCTGCCACACACTCCTTTAATTTTTTAAAATAAAATAATAATCTCCCCTCGTTTTCAAAAGCACACGCATTGTCTCTTTCTTCAAGTTCTTCAATTACATTTGTTGTGAGACACTGGTGTTATATGCAGTATAGCATTGGGAAGAAAGGGGGGGAAGGGGGATATAAAATTGGGGGGGGGTGTCAAAGGGTGCTGGGATGAGGCCACGGTGGGTCAGGCCAGAGGGTGCTGTTGGGGTGTGTGGTTGCGCCTCCCCTGGTTCTGCGTATTGCTCCTCTGCCGTTCCTTTAGCTGCTTGATTGAATCATAGTAGGGTGGAGTTGGAAGGGATCCCAAGGGTCATCTAGTCCAACCCCCGGCAATGCAGGGATCCTGTCAACAGCCAAGCTTGGCTGGGCTCCAAACTCTCGCCTTCTGGTTAACATTGCAATTCTGCAGGGGGGAGAGAAATGTGTTGGTTTCACTATCATAGCACTGATATGAGATCCGCACCATGCAGCCCTTTCAATACCTTAATGGGCTGTCACAGGGAGGAGGGAGCAAGCTTGTTTTCTCTTGCTCCAGAGGCCCTTAGGATCTGAAGCAGTGACTCTCCTTCCTTGGAGGTTTTCCCGCAGCGCTTGGATGGCCAACTGCCATGGATCATGTAGTTGAGATTCCTGCCTTGCAGGGGGTTGCACTAGATGACCCTCAGGGTCCCTTCCAACTCTACAATTCTATGATGCTATGTTTTAAAGAGCATCCAGTGTGCCTTTGAAGCCCATGACTTCCCCCAAAATGATTCATGGCATTGTGGCTTCCTTCTCACAGACCTACAATTCCCAGAACCGCTAACAAACTACAATTCCTGGGATTGTTTAGGGGAAGATATCTGCTTTTTAGAACAGGGATGAAGAACCTGTTTAGTTATTTTGCTTATTTCTGATATGACTGCGCACACTCCTTTTCTGACTGGGTCCTCGATTACTTGGTTTGGTGGGATCTGCTGATTCAGACACAGCGGATGTCTGAGAAGGCCCCACGAAGTGATCATGGGGAGGAGGTGTGAGGAAAAAACTTGTGACATTGATTTTTTTGGCAAATTGGAAGGGCTGTGGTGGGATCCAGCACCGGCCACCTGGAGCCCCACTGACCACTTAACTGCTCTCTTCTCCATCAGCTTGGGAGCTTTTTCTGGGACGTTTGCGGGGTATAATAGCATCCTTTATCATTTGAGCATCTTTATCGAGATGCTAACAGATCTGCCTGCCTTTGAATGAAGAATAAAGAAATATAAAATCAGGGGGGTCAAAGTGTGCTGGAATGAGGCCACGGTGGGTCAGGCCAGAGGGTGCCGTTGGGGTGTGTGGTTGTGCCTCCCCTGGTTCTGCGTCTCTCTCCTCTGCCCGTTCCTTTAGCTGCTTGATAGAATCATAGTAGGGCAGAGTTGGAAGGGATCCCAAAGGTCATCTAGTCCAACCCCCAGAAATGAAAGGATCCTGTCAACAGCCAAGCTTTGTTGGGCTCCAAACTCCAGCCTTCTGCTTACCATTGTATATGCATGTTTGAGCATGCTAACAGATTTGCCTACCTTTGATCAGTTGTGCTTCAAGGGAAGCTCACCAGTCCTCTGATTCCTTAATATTTTCCAGCCCAGATAGATGCTAACCAAAGGAGCTCACAATAGTCATCTCCTTGCAGGAACAGGCATAGGAGACTTAGATACACCACAAGAGTGTCTTGGATGGGGTGGCTTTCAAATAGGGCTAGACAATTGCATGGAGGAGACGCCTATCCAAGGCAACTAGTTGTGTGGGAGGGAGCAATGCTTCTGAAAAGCACTTGCTGGAAGCCACAGGCTCCCCAAGCGTGTTTCACAAGGACTCCTTCCTTCCCTCTGCCCCAGTACCTGAGGGTCCTCACGTCTCTCCAGGGATTTGGCCAGAACGATGTAGACGTTGGGGAAAGGCTCGCTCCATGCAAAGAAAACGGAGACACCAGCAGGCGCCTGTCTCCCAGCCATGTTAGCACCAGTCTGGCGCATGAGGGTGGGGGACATGGAAAGGACGCATTCCTATAATATCGGGCAGTCAAGTGGCATTTCCACCTACCTGAACTGTGAGCCTTTCCCCC